TCAGCAGCAGTCAACAGTTCACCTCTGAACCGACTAGCCGGTTCACCTCTGAACCGACTGTTCAGTTAAACTCTCTTCCTATTGGCGGAGGAACCCGGAAGGGAGGCCCGCCGGCGGGCGGAGTCTCCTTCGGGAGGTAAAATCGCCCAGAACCCGTTTATCTGGGGTTCAAATGGGGATTATTTTTGGCCGAGCCTAATGGCAGGGAATGCCCATGTTAAAAGGCCACATGACACCCCTCGTGGGGGGTGACTGAATATTGTCAACAGGTGGCCACAAAGGAGACTGGTCACGTTTAGCAGCTGTCAGCAGGAGAGCGTCAACCACCGTCAACATGTGTGAACTACTATGAGAGATCGATCTAGATCCAAAAGCCGGCTTATGAACTTTACCACACCAAGGTAGCTGTCCTAAACCCTTACGTTCCTGTTGAAATAAACCACGTAAATCTATTTCTACTGTTGTCGTATTTCTTTCTTTCAACCATACACTTGTCTATAACAGTGACAATGATGCAGCCAGCTGCCAAACAGATCTATTTTCTGCTTCACAGAACAGCATCAGAGTGTCCATTCTTTGGTATTGTCCATCCAGGTTTTAGATTGCTTCCCCCTATGTCTACCCACTTCCAAGGTAACTTGAAGGACTGTCTTAGGTAGAGAATTGTGGCATATGACATGTCCAAACCAAAACAGCTTTCTCTTTACTGTTGCCAAGAGGGGCTCCTACCAGTTGTGTTACTTGGCCCTGTACAAAGTCAATAATCTTATGTTCTCTCCAGGTGATCCTGAGAATGCATCTGAAACATTTTGGTAGTTTCTGCTATCAGTTCAGCTTTTACATCCATAGAGCAGTATGGACAGCAACAAGGAATTACAGAGCTTCATCTTGGTTGGAAAGCTTATGTTTTTGCTCTTACTGAGTTTTTCCATTAACAGTAAGGCTAAAACTACTTTTGACTCTCCACAAAACTTGTCTATGATTACTGGTATGTAAAGAGGGATTTTTAAGTCAACACAACTCTCTCTTGTTAACATAGACATTGTAGAACAATTGGTAAAGAAAGACAGTGGGGTATATTTCTCTTTTTTTTCTTTTCTTTGTTAATGCTGCTGTTGGAAGTTTTAAAGTCTAGTTTTTTGGTCTTCAGTAAAACTATTTGTAATTTTGTAGCACCAGTCTACATGACTTGATGAAGGATTCTTTTTAAAGCTTGACAGATTCATTCACTACAAGCCATTTTTAATCATTTATCTGTTGTATATTGATGATAGTTTAGACATTTCTGAATGAGTTAGATGCCATGCATAGCATTTACAAAGGCTTGAAGAAAAATAAAAGACTATAATCCATGGATAGATTATAAAACTAGGCATAGCTGATCATATGCAAAAGGAAAAAGTCATCAATCTCTCTGGAATTAAATTAATAGAGAAGAGCATTAGAAAATAAAACAAATGAATTCAAGAATGTTATACTCTGATAGCCTCATCAACACTACTTTCTTGTTAACATAGACATTGTAGAACTTTTTTATATTGCTTTTGTTATCACATTTTGACTAATCCAGTCTAAAGTCAATTTGTCTGTCTTTTTTTCTTTTGCTTGCAGTGGTGTCTTGTAGGATGGGAGTAAAAAGATTGTTGGCTCTTAAGACATGTTTGTACTATTTCAACTTCCTCTTTTTGATATTGGTTATGAAGTCTTTCAATGGGTGTGTTTCTTGTCTGTTGCCTCATGCTGTATCCTTTGTGATGCAGTCTAAGAGATGCCTAAGATAGTCCTGTAGTATCTCATTTCTAATGCTTGGATTCTTTGTTGCAATTCTGCTGCTAATGTCTGATCTTCAATTTTAGGAATATTTCATGCCTCCATTAGTTAACTGGTAGGAACTGAAAATATTATACACTGGTTTCAATTTAATAAATGATTAACCACATAGAAATTGACTTTTGTGTAAAACTTTGGTCTTAGAAGTGATGTACAAGAATTTATGGTAAGTCTAGTTTGACCAGCTCCCTCCATATGTCTCTGTTGCATGCTCAAGTTTGAGGCTTTGCAAAAGATCTTCCAGTACACAGTGATGTTGCCAGCCCATTTTTTTCACTTTTTCATTTGCCTAAGGATGGAACTAGTTGGCTCTTATGATGATGTGACCATACCATTTCAACTTTCTTTTCTTGAAGGTGGATATGAGATCTTTAGATGAGCCTGTTTCTTGTTGTCTGGCACTGCGCCATTTGTGATGTGGTCTTTACAGGAGATACCCAGGATGGTTCTGTAGCAGTTAATTTTCAGTGCTTGGATTTATTGCTGTAATTCTGCTGTTAAGATTAATGCAATTTAAAAGTAGTGATAGGAATGTTTATTCAAAAATGGGTTGGCTCTATTGAATGATGAGGCCTAGCTGTGCTTAAATTCATAAAGTCAAGGTACCAAAGAAGAAAGTTCAGAACAATTATCATGAAAATATTTATAGAAAAGACACAGGGAAGCCATG